GGATGTGATTCATCTGTTTCAGATGTCTATGTTGGGATGAGATAAATTACATCGCTTCTCTTCACCATGAAAAGTTTCCAGGGAGATCCACTTGATGTGGATGGTTGCTCTAAGGTGAGCCTTCTTTCCTTCCAATGCGAGGTAGTTGATAGGTTTTCAATTGCTAAAACAGTTTGTTATAAATTTGACTGTCATTACTATCTGTGAGCTTTACTATGGTGACATAACAGATTGCTACTTTAAATTTTCAACAAAGACATCTATTAAGAGACACTTTCTGTACAGATAGTTTAACGAAGAAAGAGGGGACCTATGGACTGTGGAATACTTTTCACTGAAGTTTTCTGAGAATTATGTTTAAACTTGCCTCAGATCAGAAGATGGAGAAATTGACTTTTGATCCTTTTTATGTCTTCAAGTCTATAGATTTCTAATCTGACATTAAGTCTCAGGAGCTAAAGGAAATTTCTGGTTTGGTATTGTCCCATTATCTAGTAACGTGATACCAAATAATTCCTGAGCATTATTCAGGGGTTGGCCCAGGCCGGGCACAGCTGCCTTCCAACAGGCAGTTTAGATTCAGCCACCCTTTTCTGGAGGCTAGGGGAGTTTAAGAATATGGATGTGGCTAGACATGCCAGTTGGCCTGAAGGCCAAAGAACAGGCTCTGTTACTTCTAATTTGTTTGTATTGATGTCACCCAAGAGTTTAGTTGACTTTGAGAGAAAGGTGTGCTTTTGGACAGATCTGAAGCCACACTGTGCCATGCAAGCCAACACCATCCCTTGAAGCTGACTGGGAAATCAAACAACCCATTGCTGTATTCACAGGGATATCCCAGCCAAAACCAGGACAGACAGCAATTCTTATCCTCAGCATTTCTTGTTGAGAGTATTCCCAGAATCACAATGTCAATTCTGGTCAAACTTTCAGTCTTACGATTCTGGGTCTGGAAATCATTGTTTAGCTTACCTCCATAATTACTTATCTCTAATTAAGCAGCCTGATGTTTTTTTGCCTCAGATTGACATGCAACAGAAACCATGCTGGAATCCTTGTATAGTGATGGTCTGAATCATGGCAACAAGGCTCATGTCTGAAGACGTGTGTAGCGGAGTCCAATAATCATTTAATACCAAGTGGAGATTTACAATTCCACCAACCCTGCCTTCCATTAAAAGCTCTACTAACAAAAAAAAATGAATATAAAGTGTCCACTAGAAGAGGGAACATAACCCTCAAAATATGTTCCAAGTGCTTAACCGAGATATGTGCCAAACTATATTGTCCAGATGTCTAAAATGAGTTTCAGCCAGCCACCTCCCATCAGTGTTTCAGTCTTGTTCTGCAATGCCAGTGAAGGTGCAATTGTAAGAAAGGTCCAACTGTAATGAAGGATGCTTCAAAAAAGCTGGTGAGTTTTGATTTTGTGGCTGGAGCCTTGATGCTCCCTCAAGGTGAGTCCTTCCCACTAACAAGTAGCAAAAGAAGAGCCAGCCTAGCTTATGAAAAGACAGTGTTTCTATAGATTAGAGAATATGGACCTGTGAGTTTCTCAAGGCACAACCCTTATGGCAAAAATGGACATCAAAGAAACTTATCACCAGAGGATGTCAGCATAGATCAGCATATGTAGGCTAGACAGTGCACGCTGGAAAGCTGGATTTCCCTCTTCAAAGATCTCCTTTGTAAAAAGATCAGAACCTAAAACATAAATGCATAACATGCTCACAGTCGGGGATTAACTAAAATAGCTCATAATATAGTTGAGTGAGTACCGAGAGCTGCAGTGCACTCTGGAATGAGCTTAAAATGGTTGAAGACCCTGGGATGTGCCAGTGTGTAGAAAGTTTCAGTCTATACACAGCCAAGGAAAGTGAAGAGCTGGTTGGCAGCTCAGATCCAGCAATTCTCATTGGCAATTGATGCTCCTAAAATATTTAAGCTTAAATGAATTGAGACTGGTAGATAAAGGCAACAGTAAATTAATGGTTAACTCAAAATAAGTTCTCATGATTTCCACTACAGTGCTCTGACTGCACCTGTTTAACTAAAGCTTGTCCAAATTTAACTACATTGCTTTCTAGTACTTTTACATCACTTTTAAGTATTTTTACATTACTAGTCTCAGAGACTACTTCTATGCTCGCTTTTATAGATGACTTTTTATTTTTTTTTTTTCTGCCTGTCATTTCAGCCAATCCTGTTTGCTAATATATTATACAAAACAGCACGAGTTTTACTTCTGTTCACTAGATTGTGAATTGTCTTTTGCAAAGTTAAATCTACTTAAAACTCACTATTGGGATATACAAATTAACTTATATGTAATCCAAAGGATTGAAGTAGCTTTAGCCCTTCTCTTTGTTAAGCTTTCTCATCGTATGTTATGTATTTAACTGGTAGAGATGCTGAGTGCTGTTCCAACCTAGAAAAACAAAGGAAGCAGAACAATGGGAGATTTAACAATGGCATTGAACAACATATGTCAGCATCATGAAAACACACAGCTATCAAAGGATGTGTGATTGTTCTGAGAGAGTATATTTTCTTTTCTGAGGGAAAAAATAATAAAAAAAATAAAATTCAGAAGTGCCTATTGGCCACCAGATAGCAGTGCTTCACTTTTTGCAGTTCTAAACTCAATTACAGTATTTCTTGCCTCTGTAGAAATATCCAGATGTTGGGTCCTAGTGTCTTTATCAGATATATCCTCTAACAGAATTCATTAGAGACTTCAGATGAAAAAAGGTAAAGATTTTGGAAATAGGTGTGATTAGGTGAATCCTAGATCAGTTTCAGGATTTATGGGTTCAGGATAAATCATGGATACTGCAGCTTTACTGAATGGGGGGAGTTGGTTGTAGAAATATAATGGAATGTAGACATTATCATTCCCAATGACAAAAGTTTGGACTTTTATCATTGCACTTAAATAAAAAATCTTGCACTTAAATATTGTAGTGCTTCTTCCTTGCTGCTAATATATTTCCTTATTTGCATTAGTATTTCAGGAATAATTCAGAAAGGTGTGGTTTTTGGCCTCAGAACGTAACCTTATTTTAAAGCATCTGCATTTTTCTTTATTTAAAAGAAAGGAACAGACTTTATAATATTTTTTAGCAAGAAGACACCCCCCATTTTTAGTGTAATTTGTTAAAATGGCAGAAGTGTGATATACTGTATAATAATTATCAGTGATATAATGTTGTATAGGTTCACGTTACCTTACAAGAACCTTGCACCAGCCTCACTTTTTGCAGACATAGTTCCAGACCTCAGGCAAGGTGCACTGGGTAGAGAGAATGGGAAAGGCGTCTGGGTGTTATTCCATCATTCCCATCCGTCCCAGCTTTGATTTTAAGGTGTCTCAGCTGCTGCTGTAACCTGAACAGCCAGCTATGGTCCCAAGGGGATCATGCAACACTGCCTTTCATCCCATACCAGGTGGGAGAGGTTATAATGGAAACTGTCTCTGTCCACTTTACACAAGAATATTCTTCATTGTGGAGAAGAATATCGAAGAGCCCTGGCAGGGTTGCTTTCCTTTGGCAGCTCCTCCAGTGGCAGAACAGGGATCTGGTGATAGAATAGTCTAAGCCCTTGCTTATTGCTGTGATTCACGTGACTTCTCCCACAGGGAATTTCACCTTTTGTGGTGGTATCCATGTCCGCAGGGTGAAAAGGTGACTTTCTCTCTACCATTTGTGGTTTCATGTTAACTGTGACAACTAAAGCAACCTGTTCGCAAGGAAAAGTGGTAAGAAGAATGTTCTCAGCATTGTCATCCTTCTTTTAATTTAAGTTGATCACAGTTCCTTTTTTTTTTTTTTTTTTTTTTTCCTATTATCTCTCTACAATCACAAAAACCCAACTTCCCCAATAACCAGCTTGAAGCAGACAGCCAGGAAATATTCAGAAACAGAAAATCCTCAGTTTGATGACTCTTCTCGGAGTTCCCCTATGTACAGACTATGCCTCTAGCAGTTAGGAACTTGACTCTGACTGTGTTCAGGGATTTAAAACACAAGCAAGCACCAAAACCATGGAAACATTACTCCAGGTGTGCTTCAGGCTTTGTGTAACTCTCTGAAGATCTTCCATCTTGGTACAGATTAAGGATTGTATATGGGGTAATACAGCTTGCAAAACGCCACCATTCCTAAAAAATCAAGTGGCTATAGCTTTGTTAGATGTTCTAAAACAATTAGGGTGGGACTGGCTTTAGGATTATAAATTTTTGCCTAGCACAAGCCCCAGCATCTGGTCCTGCAGCACGACCATCTGTGTTTCCAGTGCCTCAAGACCAAGCTCTAGCAACGCCTGAGGACGCTCACGGAAAGCAGTCCTGGTGCTGGGGACAGCAAATGAGTCAGGCATGTATTGCTTAACATACGTATCTCTTCACAGTTTGTTCGGGGATAAACACAAACACTTTTTAAAACCTATTGATTAGTTTGAACTAAAGACAACCGGGCATCTTCCTTTAAATGGAAGTAACCACTTCCACAACGAAGCCTGTCACACCAGTGTCTTTTTGTAGCTTACAAAGCGGACTCAGACCACTTTGATGATTTATCTGTACACCAAGACACCTGCCTGATCATTTGGCGAGGCAGAGTATCTTGGGTGAGCAGAGGGAGGATTTACAACACAGCCACAACACCGACCGTGCCTCCTCAGCCCTGCTGCTACCATCTGGAAACACGGCTTTCTTCACCTGTCCCCCTATCATTCGATGATATTTTAATAAAAAATTGATGTTTTCACAAACATAAGAGTTGATCTCGGAGTATTTTGCCACCCCGTGCCTCACACCCTCCACCACGAAGCCGGGGGCAGCCCTCAGGAGCCCGTGGGGGAGGCAGCGGCGGTCGGCGGGGGGCGCGGGCAGGCCGTGCCCAGCCATGCCGGGCCGGGAGGTGCTGAGGGCGGGTCTGAGGTGTGTGGAGGAGGGGGAAGGCGGTGGCAGGGCGTCACGGCGGCCATAAAAACGCCGGGCGCGGCTGAGCGGCGCAGCTGGGTCGCTCGCAGCCACCAGAGGTGGGAGAAAGCGGTGTGGGGACGGCAGTAGGACAGCAGTGACGGGCATGGGGACGGCGCTGGCGGCGCGGCTCGGCTTGGGGCTTCTGCTCCTGGCACTCATCCTACCCACGCAGGTGAGCCTCGGCGGTGGGACGGGGGCGAGCGAGCCCTCCCGAGCCCTCCTCAGCCCCCCGGTGCCCCGCAGCCGCTGTGTCCCCTCAGGCTCGGGGGGCTCCTGAGGGAGCGGCCGCCGCCATCTCGCTGCCCTGGGTGGGGGACAGGGCTCGGGGGGCGGCGGTGGGGCTGTGAGGTGCCTCCAAAGCTGGGTTGATTTCAAGAAGAAATGAGCTGGGGGGCAGCGAGACCCTGCTCCGAGTCACAGCAGGGGGTTGGGGGAGGTCCTGGTGTTTAGGGCATGGTAGGAGTGGGGGGCTCACTGAGGGGGAGCGGCATCGCTGCTCCCAGGCACTGAGACCATGAGCTCCACAGACCTCCTGTGGGGAAGGGTCGGTGAGACAGCGGTAGGGAAACATGCAACAAAGAGCTTTCTGGAGGCTCTTTTAAATACTTTTAACTCTTTTCTTTATAAAGGAGGACGTCTTCTCTTTTCCATTGTCCTCTGTAGAGCAGGATCGTGCCTTGTGGGCACTGTAAGGAGGTTGGTCGGAGGTCCCTTATTATCACGATATCGTGGCACCCCTCTCTTTTGTAGGCATGCATGTGCCACTAGGCTTTGTCTTCAAAACAAAGATAACAAAAATAATATAACTTGAGTGTGTTGGATACTGTGTGAAGGCTGAAAAAAAAATCCGGAGTAGGTTGGGACTTGCATCCTGCAAGCTGATTAAGGAGGTTTCTCTGCAATTCGGTATTTATCACTTTAGCTGCTTTCAACAGAAACTTCCACACCGTGAATTTTAATTTTTATTTATTTATTTTTAAGTCCTGCAGTCCTGAATGGCTTCCAGCATGTTCCTGGTTGCCCCAAATCCTAACTACCAGAAGCTGTACTTGGTCATGATATCTTTCTGTGATGTTCTTTTGTTCAGTAGAAAATGCTCAAAGGATATGGCCATACAAGATTCAAATGAATTTAGCATTGATTTAATGGCTTCAGCACTGAGCTAGTTTTTATATATATATTTCTGTTAAGGGTAGTTAACCTTTTCGGTAGCACTAGAAATATGACAATAAAGACCTTTTATGGAGGGTATTTATTAAAGTAGGTGTTCTTTTAGAAAATATTTTTACTTTAGCTGACTCTACCATTGTGTACCAGAAAGCTCTGGTACAATGCAAGTTTCCTGCCACAGAACTGAAGCCAAGTTTGCCAAGCTATACTTTTTCAGGAGCAGATACATTATTCTTGCTCTTGCTTTTCATCCTTGTGTATCACACATTCTTTTCTAGGAGAGAAGAACATGTTAATTTAGCTTTGAAAATTTTCCTGTACGTGTGTAGGACATAGCTTGACAACGAAATTAAAAAGTGCAAAATTTTTATGTTCTACCCCTATAATTTGGGGAGGAGTGGAAGGAGACTGTTTTTTACCTTGCTTTCTCTCAGAATCTTCATTTATTAGTGTTATACTGACTTTCCACTGCGTTTCTTATGTCTGCTCTAGCATGCCAATAGGTTGTGATTTAATCAGTATAATTCCATTGTTTTAAGATCTGTGGTTCAGTGCTACCATAGCAAGATAAGAGATGTGAGGCTGAAAAGAGAAGTCCATTTACACAAGCCCCACTGTTACTTGAAAGGGATACCCAACGCAGTTACAGAAATAAAATCAATAGGTTCTCCACTGTTTGCTCATATTTCTATTCGTGGCTCAATCTGCTAAAACAACGGATTCATGCAGTTATCTGGAAGTCTCTTATCAAAAGAATTGCTCTACATTTCATAGATTTTTTTTTATGAGGTTCTTTGAAACCTACTTCTCTACTTTTTTGTTGCAGGGTTTTGGTAAAACTATAGCTCCATAACAGAAAACATTTAGGAAAATGTTAGATTTATTTCTTTTGAATTCCAGAAACAGGACTTATTAAACAACTCTGTCCTCTGTACAACAAGAGGCATGAGCAACTTTGGATTATGAGTACTGTGACTGTGGTGCTACATGTTGTAAATTACTACTAATTTATGTCTTCTGATTTAAAAACAAAACACTTCTATTTAACTTTTTCTACCCACATTCTAGATCTACTGCAATCCCAATGGAACAAGTCCAACACCTTCAAACAATTCTTCAGCAGCTTCCACTTTGTCAGCTGTCGTAAATTCACTGAACAGTACCACCCCTCACGGACATGGAAATTGCCTTCACTCTGCCACAAGCCTCCTTTTCATTCTCTCAGTTTCCCTTCTGTATTTTTGCTGTTAAGAGACTCTGGCAGGGAAATGGCTACCACTCCCCACCCAGTTTCCTGAACCATCTGAGATGGCTAGATCTTCGACCCAGCATGAAAATGAATCAGTCCAAACTCTGCATCAAACCGGCTTGGTTCCACTCCATACTGTAATTAGTACCTGTCTGACCTAGAGAATCACCTGCTGCTCTCACTTTCCAGAGCTGACCCAATATGAAAAGGATGTGACTAACTTCAGCCAGGAGGTAAAATGAGCTCTCTCACCAGATGAGTTTGAATTCAAAGTACAAGATGGAAGCAAAAAGACAGTATTGACAACTCCTCCCAATTTAAAGCTGAGAAGAAATGCAGTGTCCTTGTTGTTGTCCAGGTTGGATGATAACACCTCAGCAAGGCAGAAGGCTAGAGACTTTATCTACCACTTAGAATGACAACTTGAAGAGATTTTATCTTCCTTTTAAGTTCATTAAAGTCAGTAGCTCATAGAAAGTGCTAGAAAACACAGAAAAGCTCAAACGGTTCTGTTCCTTTCACAGCCTGCATGGTTAAAATCAATGGGTAGTAGGAATGTATGCAAAAGACACAAAGTAACAGTGAGAAGGGTTTCTTCTAGATTTAATTTGTATAAAGTTGTTATGAGACTAAAACAGAACTCCAAATTTTGTAATAATCCTTATTTTTATTTCTGAGTTCTAACCAAATGGCTAGTCAGGCAGGGCTAGTTCTGAAACAGTGAAAATAAACAGTCAAGGGTTTTCCTAAGAGTTGAATTATTTACCATGGGGATTTGGTTTTGACATTTTATTTAAATTGTTCATATATTAAACCCTATGTGCCAGAGTAATGAGGTGTGGAAACATTGGGAAAAGTACCAGGAGCTTTTTGTAAATGAAGTTCAGACAAAAAAAAAAAGTCAAGGGATAACGATCTCCTCTTTCCCCTATTTCTCCTCCCAGTTCTACAAGTTGTACAAGTCCTTTTTGCTCCTGGAACTTTCCTTAATTATGAAGGATTTATAGAACCTCTTGAGTAATGTTTTAGTGCTGCTTTTTTTTTTTTTTTTTTTTTTGGCACAAAGTAAATAACTTACTGTTTGTTTGGAAGAGTTTTCATTGTGATGGTTTACTTTAAACATGGGCTAATATTTGTGGTGGGGAGAAGGAACAGGGGAGAGGAGAGAAAAACGCCAAAAAAAATAAGACATTAAATGATTAGGTGTTTGGAATCTGAAGACTGGAGTCTTAATTTAATCAATTTAAAAATGACCTTTGTAAATACTTTTTAAAAAACTTTCTGAATCAAAACTGCTACACTTGCACAGATTGTTTCTGTATCATTCAACCCTTTAGATAATAGCATCTGGTAGTTGATCAAAGCAAGCTCAGTTAAGGAAGTTCATCTACCTTAACAACACCTGATGAAGAAAAAAGTTGATAAAACAGGAGCGTATATGATCATCTCACTCTGTATATAGATATCTATCTCGGTATAAGATCATGTCAAATGAAAGTGGCTCCCAATTTTTTTTTTTTAATCCACATCTTCCAGTTACATTACCACCAATCCAGGTTATCAGATCCTAGTAGCAAACTAACACAAATTCCTGTCAGTGAGTATACATGGCATTTCCTTCTGCTTATCATTTGTATTGAGTAAACTGTTAATGATTGTATTTTTGTGTTTGTGTAATTATGCTTTGATTTACTAGCTACTGATTTTCAGTGGGGGGGGGGAGGGAGGGGGAACCTGTAAATAAAGCAGTGGACAGGCAATGCATTCCAGGTGCACTTCCAGACACTCCTGCAAGAACTTGTAACTTGCCTGCGTTAAGTGAATGAGCTGTTAAGCAAGGCAGTGTATGTGATTAAAAACCTCAAGGTCTAGAAACACTGACGTGTGTTAGTTTTATTTCTCTCTCAAAGGTTTAGTGATATTACGAGCCTGGATTCTACTCTGAAATCAGTGAGTGAGATTTTGTTAATATTGCTAACGAGTAGCTTTTCTGTATTTATTACTCTTCCCTTTCAAAGTAGCGTGCTTTCATTTTAGGCAAACGGTGCTTAAACAGAGTTTTCCTTTGTTTCTTCTTGGGGCAGTGAGTTATTTCCCTTATAACAGCTAAAGCTGTTTTTCAGCTTGTGGTTATCGAGCCTGTGAATTAACTGCTTGAGGTTTCTGACTCCCACACGCTACATTAATATAAGAGGAGTATTCTAATAATACAAGTTTCACCATGCTTGATGAAGGACAGAGGCTAGAAGAAGCAGTAGTATGTGCAATAGAGCAAAAAATAAACTGGATCAGAACTCCAAACACAGGTATTTACAGTTCATGACATTCCAGAGTTGTGTTTTTTTTCCCAGTTATGCTCCTTTCTAATAACCCTGTGTTCTGCATGATCATCTTTACTCCCTAGATATGGAGCAAGGCACTTAAAAATGCCCAGCTACTTAGGCAGGCTGCACAACACTGCATTTTTTTCAGTGGGAAAGAGGCCCCCAGAGAGGCCTCCTGAGGCTCAGGAGGGCAGGCAGAGCGGCAGCCCTTTGATGGTGTTCCTTTACTTTTCCAGTAGGCTGAGCAAACCCAAGAAGCAGAAGGGGTTTATCAAAGCTCGCTGTTTGAGCCTATCTTGGAATCTGCGGGGACTATGGGAGTGCATTGTTCCCTTATTTAGCTTCCCTCTCAATGCTTCTAGAAGGAAGCATGAAGATAAAATGCTATACCAACTGCTACCTGGCTGTCTATCTTTTTGGTAAAACAACTTTGAAAACACAAACATTCAAAGACTGAGAACAAAGGCTGCCATGATAGGCCTTCGTTCTATGAAGTATCAGTAAAATGAATGAAACAGAGGAACATGCCTGGAGTTCAGCGTTTGCTAAGTATTTAAATGGACTAGGATGGTTGGTTTAATTGGTGGTGTTTTTTTCTTTTGATAAAAAAAGAAATAGGGACAGATTGCTTTTTAATAGCATTTAGGCATATTTAAACTCTCGAGTTTTCACCAGACCAGACGACCGATTTAGAAAAATGCTCGGGTCACCTTTGTTCCGTTCCATCACAGAACAATGGAATCACTGATGAAGAAATCCACGTGGAGAAAGAGAGCTTGATGGATTTATTTAGCGGAAGGGGAAGGCGGGAGGCCAGGGAGGAGAATATAGCCTCCCTACTTCATGACTCTCCCATTTTTTTAAAATGACACCTCTAATAAGTGGAACCAGCTCTTACCTATGCCTCTCACTTTCACAAATCTGCCCAGCTGGAACGTGTCTGGATAATGTATATCGCAATGACTGAAACGATTCTTCTGTTTGATGCATGGCACTGCTTTCGTTGTAAATGTGCTAGCCACATATGTCCTGAATAAAGTATAGCATTATTGTTTGAATGAAATAACCCACAGCGAGCACTTAAGCTTTGTGTGCAGCCTACTGTTCATTCCTCCACAAAATTGTATTCCTTACTTTTTTTTTTTTCCCAAATCAGTTTTCATCTCTTTCAGAAAAACGCAGGGGCTTTGAGCATCTTTCATTCAGTGAAAATCTCCAGGTGGTGAAGTATCCCAGGCCACAAAATTTAATTCACATAACAACCCAAGAGCTTCTGCTAGTGGCCTCCTTGTTTGTGAGATGAATTGGTGTGCCCTGAGCCTTTCTCCACGTGTGCGAAGGCAGGGTGTGTGGGGCTGTGGTGGTGTGCTAAGGGTAGCCCCCCTCTGTCTGTGTGGAGACATGATGTTATTAATGTCTCAATAAAAGACTTTTTGAATGAATGCAGCACTATTTTGCCAAGCTATCCCAGCTTTTAGCCTAAGCCCTTGGATGCTTGGGATTTGCTCATGCGATGCAAATGCTCTTGAGGAAGGAGCACAGTGTAATTTCATTAGCACGGAGTGGTTTCTCCGGAGAGCAGCTCTGAGGCAGCCTCTCGGGCTGTGGGAGGGCTCCTGGGACCCAACACTTGCAGGGCCTGGCCCTTGTCATGCATCTGCCCAAGCCAGCGTTTCCCTGCACTCGGGTTACACCAGGCTCCACGGCACAGCTCTCAGTGGCACCTTCTACCCGCGAGTGAGGCCGTCTATAAGCACGCGGGTATCGGAGGTGTTGCAGAGCAATTTGCACTTGGTGTGCATTCGGGCTCCGCGGGGATGTGACTCGCCCTACATGACTGAAATGACTTAGGTGGCAGCCGTGGTCGTTCAGCCACTGTATTGTAACAGATCCAGCTGGAAACATTTCTTGTTTTTGCATTACAGATAACTTTGAAATGGGATCTGCCGGCTCTGCCTCGCAGCGGCACAAAGCCCTTCATTATATCGCACACGCTGCACTCTGCGCGCCGTCCGGGCCTGCCGTGCCCCGGCGGGTGGAGAAGCTGGGGACTTTAAACCCATCGGGTTATCTGCAGCAGCTCTGAGAGCACGAGGCTGTCTGCGAGACGTGCTCTGAGGCGGGCTGCTTCCACCATTACGCGGTAGCCTTGGGGAAGATACTTGATCCTTGCGTTGGTTATCAGCCTTGGCTTTTCCAAGCAGAGCCCTCAGCTTCCTGCTCATGAATGCGTAATTGCTCCGGCTTAGTCTTCATCAAAACGTCTGTAATGAGTGACCTGGAGCTGAAGAAAAACATAGTTAATTTAATCCAGCCCGACCACAACCCTGATCTAACAAAATCGCGTCTAGGAAGGGCCATTCAAATCTCTTTTGAATCCAGCAGCACTCCCTCCAATGTATGTGCTATAAATACATGAATAAAACATTTTCAAGCTTTTCAGAAGCGATCCGAGACCCTTTCATGCTTTCAGCTTAGCGGGAGCTGTGCTTTAACAACTAATGGGGATACAATATAAAAATTGAGCACGCAGCAGAATTAAATCGTGGTAGCTTGGTTTTGCTGCATAAACTGAATGATCGCATTCCACCAAAATCTCTCTTGAATGACCTGGTGTGAAAAGTATTCTTTATGTGGCACAAATTATTAAAGGAAGCAACGCCTCTTTAAAGCAATTGTTCTGTTTCCCTCTTTTCAACAGCTGCCGCTGAAAACACAGCTTGGGCATTTTTCAGATTGCTTACGGTGCACAATTTGGACTTACAGGCTGCAGTCATAATACTGAAATGTGTAAGCTGCCCATGACAAAACCTGCATGTTTTTTTTTTCTACTGAATTATATGGAACACAGATTTTGGTTTTGTTAGGTAGGACATGACTTTGAGGCTGGGGAGGTACGTCTACCAGAACACAAGAACAAACGCTGATTGATCAGACCTGTAGGATTCAAAACTGATCGAGTGCTCAGAGCCATAATAGCAAGGATTAAAAAAACAATTTTAAGTTGGATGTAAACTCATGTGTTGGGGACCTTCACTGGTTAGGAGTCAGGGAGAATTCCCCCTGCAAGCAGACGACCTGCTAGCTGTTTAGGGCTTTCTCCCTTGAAAAGCTGGCTTGGGGCATGTTAATAGCACAAAAGCAGTCTCGATGGAGCCTTGGCTCTAACGTGGCAGTTCCAGGGTTTTAATGCTTAGATACAAACAAGTTTTAAACAAGCAAGAAGAGGCTTGAGGCTTTGGCAGGACTGTGAGGGTAATGGAAAGACAAGATGGCATTAATGCCCTAAGACATGAAGATGGTATTTGCTGTCGTATATCTACTGTACCTACTATCTACAAATCTTCCTGGTGTTTTCTAAAATTTGCTGGCAGCTAGTGTCCTTTCATAAGCTTACAGCGATATCATCCAATTCCATTTTTAGGTTAATCTCTTTCCTGTTTCAGGAAACTAATAGAAAACTACGTGCAGCACGGCAGAGTTTTTCAACTTGAAATTATTCTCTGCCTCCATTCTGAACTTCTTAGGCTCCCATAAGGTGTGCACTCTTGTAAAGTACTAGCAGAAAACGAGCCACCATGAAATATTACCAGGTTTATTATTATTTTTTTTTCCTGCCAGTCTGTGCTTTTACTGAAATTAAATTATCAAAACAGCACTCGGTTGTTTCTAGGACACAATGCAAACTCCACATTAACTTAGCCCTGGTAATGTGTCATTGATCTAAGCCCTCTGCCACAGTTTCGCAGTAAGCAAGGGGACATTGCCAGCATGGTGGAGAAACTGGTAAATGCAAATGCCCGTGACCTGAGCAGGCTGTCAGTCTTGATCCCAAAGCACATGATCCTATATGCTAGGGATTTGCGGATATCACTAGCTAGCTGATATGGGTCTGGGATTTGAATGGCTATTTCAATGTGTTTCCATTTAACATGTTTGTTCTCACTCAGCGATGCAGCCTGGTACAGTTCAGCTTCTACTTTGCTTGTGTTTTTCTCCAGTCTTATGTCGTGCATTCCTCCAAGCAGAGGCAGTCACTGCTGAGTGTCTGCAAAACCCCTACCAGCCATTAGCTGTTCGTCAGAAGGTTTCACATTGCTTTCCGTAACAGCCGTAATTAAAGCCCCTGTCTTCAGAGGTAATTTGGTGTCTGACTTCTAGTTCCTGTTGAAGTTAGTATCCTTTTGGGTTGCAGCCTGACTGCTTTCCATGTAAATTAGTAACGATACTGAAAGCTTTTATGGATCTTCTGGGGTCTCTGCTCTCTTTTCAGGGAAATGACAGTTGAGCTCCTTTCTTTTTTTGTTTTTCTTGCTTCCTCTGTTGCAGGAGATGCTCTTTTTTGGAAAGACCTTTCCATCAAGGTGGTAACTCTCACCTGTGCTACAGGAGGGTGGAAGTTTTTTTGAGTTCAGCTTTGCCTGTTCTGCATCGCTTGCCAGCATTCCTGCCACGGGGAGAGGCCCCCACAATGGGGGCAGTGCCCTGCAGGCAGCCAGGCTCTTCAGGTAGTTGAAACCAGGGATGCCTTGGGGGCTTGGTCAGGACCCAGGT